CCCACCGAACCTCATCCACCCCCCTTTCACTCACTCTCTCGATAATCCGTCCTTCCCGTGCGTTCTGGCAGGCTCACGCGCGCGCTACTCTTCCCGCTCGTGAAAGGATTTGGAGGAAAACTCGCGAGGAGGGAAACTCGTTGCCTGCCGCGCAAACATAAAGAGGGAACACGGAGAGTCGACGCCGCGCCCAGTGGCAAGGTCGCCGCGAAGCCCAGTCCGGATGCACAAGAGCACACGACGAGGATTATTTGCTTGGAGCTTTCAAGCCCTGAAGCGAATGAGGTGGTGGCTCTCGCACTCTCGCGGCCGCCCCTCTCAACCGCGTAGTCAAGGAGCTTCATCGGCTTTTCACTTTCGTTCGCGGCAATATCGAACGACCCGTTCTACCGTGCGACCTCCTACTCGCTTCAGCTTAGGAGGAAGACCCGCATTCGTCGTCGAAGTTGGGTAAGGGACGGTGGATTATGACGGGGGTGTGAAGGGGTAGGGAAGGGAGAATCTCGAAGCGCCGAGCGTCATGACCGGAACGGACGAGTTGAGGGAAAAAGACCGCGAGGAGGAAGCCAAGAACTTAAGATGGCCGCTGCTGTGCCCGATAACGGTCTCGAGGCAGTGTTAAATGCACGACGACTGTATTGCCAGAAGATTTGAGGATAAGGTGGCGGCGGGAGGGGTAGAGGAGAGAGATCGAGCGGGTCCGTCGAAGGCGAGTAGCTGTCCGAGAAAAAAAAATTAAGGAACGAGCGCGGAGTTGTTTCCGTATACTACACGGACGGACGGGACGGGCTTTGGGGCCCATGCCGAGGAGCCAGGCCCATAGCCGTACGTGCTTGTGCTTCCGATCCTTTATTCCATAGATATAGCTTCGTCATAAAGTTCAACGATCTCCTCTCCCCTTCCGCCCCAACCCCGTGCTGGCGATCTTGCCCCGACCCAAACCTCGGCCCCGGCCCCGGTCCCTTCCGCTCGTTCAGCTGTCCCGGCCCTTCCTGCGCTACGTCGGTGTCCCTCGCACGAAACTCGCGCGGCGCTACTTGCCGTCTTTTTATGCCTTTTCCATTTCTTACATTTTTCCTCTCTCGCTGCTCCGAGAGCTAGCCGAGCCCGATCGGCCGCAGCACGGGGAAGAAAAGAGAGGGTGACTGGATAGAGGCAAGTAGTAACCTGAAAGATTGACAAAGAGAATGCCGTGGATAGAGTGGGATGAGGGAGCGAGATGAAAGTAATTTTATGTGTTTCTTCGTTGGAATACATTGATTTTACAAAGAAAACGAGAAGGTAGCTTGCTCGAACGTTTAGTATTTACTCTTACTCTCTCTATCTCTCTGTCTGTCTGACTCTCGGTCGTACCGTCCATCGCCGCCTTTTACGCGTCAACCCTCGCGCTACCGTGCTGTACAACAATAGCACACGGAAAATGCATTATCACAGGTAATGAAATACGCGGTGGAGAAGGATGACATCCTACCAGCGCATCCTATAATACTCGACTCTTTTGGAAAAACGTCCGTCCGTTCGATATCGACATTGCTAAAATCTCGTTAAGTACATAATGAAATTTCGATTGCAAATAGATTAGGCGCATAGGGCAATTTGCTCGTCCGCAAATTATTCAACCGTATCGCGCGAATGAATGATAAATCGAAAAGGATCAATGAAACTCTAATGCAATACTGGTCGATGGACGATGCTATCGATGCATTTGAAATGCCGCTCCAAAGAAATTCCTCTGGGCATCAATCCGAGCGGTGTTATTACGCTCTGGAGAACGTGAGAGAACGAGCGGGAGCCAGTATCGAATAATGAAAGCGCAAAGCATAAAGCGAATGCCGGGCCAGGATGACGTGAAAATGCGACGTTGAAGTTGAAGTGGTAATAGAAGAGAGGCTAGAGAAGAGAGAAGAGAGAAGAGTGAGAGGGAGAGAGAAGAGAAAAGAGTGAGAGAGAGAAGAGAGAAGAGTGAAGATTGAAGAGTGAAGAGAGAGAGAGAGAGAGAGAGAGTGAAGAGTGAAGAGTGAAGAGAGAGAGGGAGAGAGAGAGAGTGAAGAGTGAAGAGTGAAGAGAGAGAGAGAGAGAGAGAGAGTGAAGAGTGAAGAGTGAAGAGAGAGAGAGAGAGTGAAGAAAAAGTTAAATTAACAAATCCCTTGGTCAAGGAGAGCTTTGAAATTTCGTCGCTAGCATTGAAAAAGGTACGAGCTTCCGCAAACGAGGGACTGCTTCTAGAAACGTTTGAAAAGGATTTTCTCCTTTCCACAAAATGTCGAGGCTCACGGCGTACGTCGAAGCGAAGCGTTTCTTTGTGAATCGCTGAGGGACTGCATCCCTCCCACGACTCGGGCCTTTGGCTGTACGTCGTTCCATCGATGAGTCGCGCACGAATCGGCGGGGGTGGGTTGGGAAGTAGTCGTGCCAGGTGGCAGTGACGAGTGACGGAGCACAGGTAGACGAAGAGAGCATTTAAACGCCTCGAGCCAATGCCGGCCGGCATTCGATGGAATCTGGTCGACTCCCCACCTCCACGACTATCCTTCTTTTTTTTGTGTTTTTTTATTATTTATTTTTTTTTTTTTATTTTTTTTTTCTGCGCATCTCTTTGGAAATCCTTGGACGCGTCCTTAAAATGCTCGAGAAACTGCGCAGGTATCAATTGTCGGGAATTGCGCGGTAGCGCGATGGATAGATGGGTGGATGGACGGCTGTGGCAAGGGGCGGAGGCGAGGAGAGTTATGGGCAGAGTAAGGGAAGAGGGAAGATACAATGACGAGCTCGCTCGTGCTTTTTCTTTATTTTTTTATTTTGTTATTTCTTTTTTTCCTTCCTTCGTGTTGTCTTGTGGGCTATTGACGCCGGATGGGCCAAAAAATAAAGGAAACATATTTTACTGGCGGGAAAATCTAACTAACGCGGTTCCGTCCAACTGTGAGTTTTCATATGACGTAGCCGACAATTCTATTCTTGCCTCGGCTTTGTGTATTTCTAAAACGATATGTGCGCTCCCTCTAGGAGTGGGAATGCGAGCATAAATTGGCTTGGGTTTGAAGAATAAAAAGGGCAGCTTGTAAATAGAAGAGTTAAGCACACGATTACTCAATTAAAGAATAATTTACTTGGAAAAGTTCAATAACCACGAGAGTACGGACTGAAACGCATACTTCCTAGCGGCAAGTTGTAAAATCCCGGTAAGAGGCAATAGTCTTTGCATAATTCATAAGCCGAAGGAAAAAGAGATATCGACTATTCGCCAGAAAACTTCACCTGCAATTTTGTTGGCTTAAGTCTGCTGAAGAGCGAAATGATCCGCGCGATCGGGGCACGGAAAATGATCAGCCGAGTAACCTGTAACACGTGTGGAAGAAAGGCTCGGGCATTACGTTACCTGCTCATCCCCACGCCCCTCGCCCCTCCCCCTCCTCACAACATCACACACACACGCACACGCATACACACACGCGCACTCACACACACGCACTCTCTCTCTCTCTCTCTCTCTCTCTCTCTCTCTCTCCCTCCCACTCTCTCGCTCTCTTTGTAAATGTCGAGTATTCGGCAACCCAGATTTGTAAATACCTATCCGTACGCATCCGTGTCGTGGGCAGATTCGACATTTGCATCATTCCATCGGAACGGAATAGTTACCCTTGCTTTAATCAATTTCCTCGCCTGTGCCATTCCCCATACTCGATCCCCCTTAGGCACGTCCGACGTCCTTGGACGCCGATCCCTCGACTCGAGACGCTCGTTCGAAAGGGGCTCGTCTCTTTACACCGGAATTTTCACACGAGCCTAGACCTGAAGACAGGTGCGCAACGAGGATGAGACCCGCACTTTCACGCTTCGACAATTTTTGGCGCGGAAGATGAGTAACAGGTCGATCGCTTACGCGCAACCAGGACCTTCGCCTCCACCGGGGACTGAGATCGGACGATACCCTCACCTATCCTCCCCGGCCATACCGGTTCTTCTCCTCATGCTTGCGCACGAGCAAACGAAAGCCTCCAGGTCTCGATAATCGCGAATCACCTCTTTTTCTTCTACATACTGACTGCTCACGCCCGCTTCGCGTTCCCCTTCGTCCTTCCACGTCACGCACGCAGAGGCGCGGCCCGCGAATGTCCTCGACGACGCGTCGCAATCGCCACGAGCTTTTCAATTGTCCGCGCCATTAGCGCAATAGCCATTGAGCGACCAAGGTGCGCAATGCTTGGCTAATATGTGTTTCTCCTTCGTTCCAATTCCAATGGTATTTACAGTCGCGCGCACGCGCCATTTTTTTTCGGCACCACGCACACTTCATTATTTTTCCAGACCAGCGCTTCTCTCGTGATATCCTTGTATATTTCCCAATCCGTATTCCCGCCTCCCCACTTTTTCGCACTGTTACAGCTAGATGCACGGTCGCAATCATTTTCCATCCGTGGCCCTCGGTGCTGTGGATTTTCACTAGACACGCCGAGGCGTCGCTCGCCCATCCCCCAAGCCAATATCTTGTCAAATTGGCTTTGCACGCACGGTTTACGCGTATTCCGAAACAGCGCCTACAATGGCTTAAACGTGCCCAGTCTCAAAAAATTTTGCCTAGCCCCAATGACCTTACCAACTTCTCCGGCTTCTCTCTCTCTCTCTCTCTCTCTCTCTCTCTCTCACTCTCTATTTATCAGAATAAATTACCAACTCTAGAGCATTTTATTTTAGCCGCGGTAAGACGCATTCGATGCAACGCCCTTTAGCTTTATCCATATTGCATCATATTCGATTTCCTTCTCCGAGGGCTCAGTTACGTGCTGTCGCCGCAATTATTGAAAAAAAAAAAAACGAATAAAGTCCAAAGGTGCTGGCACAATTTGCACAATTGCACACATTACTTTTGTGCCCGGAACTTCAGTCTCCCATCTTTCCCT